TGAAAGAAAAAGACAAAGATGAAAAAACACGGGAAGCAAAGAACATAAATTTGTATTTCTTGGCATATTGACGGGACTTTTCCAACTTATACACCTTAGTAGTCCTGGAATAACAACACATGCCCTAGGGTACATTAGGGGATCAAACCATCCGATAAACCATAGTTGAATAACAATCGAGATCAACACTAAAAGCTATGACCTAGGTTGATATTGGTCCACAATGTGACGATTACTGCTTTGCTACCACACCCACAAATCATCATTTCCTTAGGTTTCATTATCATGTGCTTGATGTTTGTAGAATTAGAGAAGAAGAAGCAATTGAGGAAATGAATTTAAATTATAAATAGACGACAAAAGGAGAGAAGACACAAGTGAAAAAACAATTTTATCTTCATGTGAGGGGCACATGTAATGAAACATTTCACACAGAGTTAGTCTAGACCACCGGTTCAACTTTTTTTGCAAACCACAAGGAAGATATATGTCGAAGATTCAAACTTGGAGGGTGTTTGGGATTGTTTTAAAAACAACTTTTAGACTTTTCACTTTTCCAAAAAGTCAAAAAAGTTCAAAAGATGTTTGGAAAATTGAAAAGTTATTTTTAAAACAACTTTTGGACAAGGAAAAAATGTTTGATTCTAAAAGTCACAAAATTGTGACTTTTGTGCCTCTTAAAAGCAACTTTTGTCTTTTGTCCATCCAAACACATTTTAAACCACTACTTTTGGAAAAAATACTTTTTACAAAAAGTTATTTTATAAAAAGGAGGGATGATGACTTAAAAGGGTAATATATTTTTCGATTTGTACACATTTGGTCACTGAGTTATTTTTCGTCCACATTTACCCCTTCAACTTGTTAAACTGTATACATTCAGTCCTTATAACCGGCTACTCCAGGTTAGCCGGTAAAAATGACTTAATAGGGTAATATATTTATCATTTTGTATACATTTAGTCATTAATATTTTTGTACACATTTAGTCCTTAATATTTTTTTGTTGCAAAATAAATCATTTTTGTTTTTGTACTCATTCAATATTTATGAATGATTTCTTTAGGTTTTTCTCATGACATCTTACGTGGGATAATCATTAATGAGATATTTTGGGGCTTTTGATGCTTATGTCCATCGCGATCTCGACTCATTGGTTGCTTAGGTCATGTGTTCTGAACGTCATAATTTCTTAATACGATATCGGGTTTTAATGATCTTTATATCCATGTGTTCGTATTTTAGTCTATTACAACTTTCGTTTAGATTACTCCCGTTAAAAAGTAATATATTTTTACTTACGATCTTTATATCTATACTGTCACACCCCCAAACCAGAACGACATAAACGTCTGGGGGTGGATGAATTCATGTACAGTATCATACATAATGAATAATATTGATCAAAGCCATACAACCATCAGATGGATAATTAAAAAGTTTACATTGTAATCAAAACATTTGTTTACTTGATAGCAAATACATATGTCAAAAGTAAATAACGTGACGCTGCGACGCCCCATCCTCAAAACCCTTTTGGTTACCTGTTTACTGATTTCCAGAGAATACAAGTGGTTTTGAAAAAGTGTCAACAATTAAGTTGGTGAGTTCATAAGAGTTTTGTATGAGAAAAATCTGCAAATTTTCCTTGTAAAAATGATAGAGTGTGCCTTCAGAAAATCCAATATTTTCTTTAAAAATGAGTTGTAGGTCTTAAACCCAAAGACCAAAAATGTAAGTGATGTTGTACTGGAAAATAGTATTATGTAGTTTTATCATTATATAAAACTGACTGAATGTATGTTAGCCCCGTAAACCAAATGTATTGTTAATACCCTATGTGAGTTATTATAATCGTGCTATGACTAGTTGGCCTGCTACGACGTTCTTCAGACGTCGGAATGTTAGACGTTTGTCACCCTAGACATGCCGGTCTAACTGTAACTAACAGCTTAGGTGCGGGGTTGTCAGTCCCGTATAGATCTATACACAAGTGTTACGCTCTCTTACCGAGACTCTAGTTATAATTCAGGAACTTTAGTATGTACTCAAGTAGGTACGGTGAAGGCATGTCTCACAAAATCGTATTAACAGGTTTACGTCTACTGTAATGAACACCCTTTTTGCAAATGAAAGTATTACCCTTCCATAGTGGTTACATAGTGTAAAAAAAATAATTATACCTTTAAATAATTATATGGTTCGAGCAAAATGATAAAGTGGTAATTGTGACCCCCAAACTATACTGATTATAGTTTATTATGAATGTTTTGTTACGTCCATTTATATAATCATTTATATATAAATGCATATAAGTAATCATGTCTAGATGTTTTAAAAAAAGTGTATCATATAAACTTACATCTAACACAAGTATGAACACATTTGGTATGAAAAAGTCAATTTCTAGTTTTTGCCAATTTTTAACGATATTTACCGGTAACTAGAAAAATATAACTTTGTAAAACTTATTATTTTTTTTTTCTTTTTGGGATTTTAACTCAAAATACTTTATATGTTTTAAAACCATACATTTTTAGTTAAAACCCCACAAAATGATGTCATAAACTTGTTATGACCCCTTTTGTTTAAAAATCCATTTTTTACATAAAATGATAGATTTTTGAGTTTTCTTTTTGTAAAGCTAACTCCTTGGTATTTTTTGTCTAGTTTCAAAATACATGTCCAAAACAACATATTTTGGGTTATATCCTACAAAAATGGTATAATAACTAGGTTATAACCACTTTTGCTAGAAATGCCATATTTTGTCCATAAAAATCTTAGTCTTTGTAGTTTTGTAAATATAACTTCTTCTTATGAACATATAACATAGTTTATGTTTGTTTTTCTTAGTTTTGCATCTCAAAACTAACATACCACAAGTAAATGTTCTACAAACAAGTAATAACCACGTTTCATGAAGAATATTACTTCATACACCACATAGAAGTGAAACATGCAAGCATTTGTGTTATAAACCAAACTTTTATTGTATCCCCCCTTACAACATGAAAACTCGAAAATATAGGGGTATGAACTCACCTTGAGTGTGTTTGTGGTTGGATAAAGAGATGAAGATGAAGATCCTCAAGCTTAGAACACTTGAAGGTGGTTGAATAACTCTTTGAAGATAATATTATCCTATGAGTTTTAACACATGATAATGTGTGTAGATGAGATGAAACTAGTATGAAAATGTGTAGAAACACTAGATTAATAAGGAATGCTTACCAAAAATCCTAAGAACCAACTTGGAAGTATTGATCTTTGGAGGATTTTGGACTTGTTCTTGAGAGAAGGTTGAAGAATAAAGTTGATGGGGGTGAGGGATACTCCTCTCGGTCGAACCTTAAATGGGGGGGGGGGGGGGGGGGGGGGGGGGGGGGGGGAAGGGGGGGGGGTGAGGTGATGTTTGCATTGTTATATGTTGGGTAATGGTCTTGATACATGTTGGTTAATGTTTTATGTTGGAAAAGATGCAACACTCATGTCACTAGGTCAACATTTTTTTTTAAAATTTTTATTTATAAAAATGTTGGACTTTTATAAAAAGAGTGTTAGTTTTTTATACAAAGCGTGACATAAAAATGTATAACTACTTAATTTGAATCATAAAAATTCAAATTATTAAAAAGGGATCATTATTAATAAAGATAATAGCCTAATGTGTTGAAAGTGTTATTTATACCAAAATAATATATGTTGGTATTATCGAAATTAACGTTGTAAATCCAAAATATGATTTTTATTCAATAATCGGCGAATAGAGAGGTATTTCACATTAATACTCGGAAATTGTACATTAAGGAACCTCAAGATTCACCTAAAACTCCAATATGGGTTGAGTTGACTTTCGTTGACTTGTTGACTTTTGTTGGATTCAAAATCGGCAGTTGTCACATATACATTTTTTTATGAATACATGTATGAATTTTTTTTTATATAATTGTAAGTAAAAATATATTACATTTTAACAGGAGTAATCTTAACGAAAGTTATAGTAGACTCAAAAAACGAACACGTAGATATAAAGATCGTTAAAATATGATATCCTATGAATAATTTACGACGTTCAGACACAAAACTTAAGCCAAATCAGAAGACATACGCAACCAAGCAGTCGAGATCGCGATGAACATAAACATCAACAGCCCCAAACACCTCATTAATGATTGTCACACGTAAGATGTCCTGAGAAAAACCTAAATAAATCATTCATAAGTACTGAATGAGTACGTAAACAAAAATGAATTATTTTGAAACAAAAAATATTAAAGACTAAATGTGTACAAAATGAAAAAATATATTAAGTCATTTTTCCCGGCTAACTTAGAGTAACCGGTCATAAAGACTGAATGTGTACAATTTAACAAGTTGAAGGGGTAAATTTGGACGAAAAAAACTCAATGACCAAATGTATACAAATCAAAAAATATATATTACCTTTTTAAGTCGTTAATATATTACCGTTTTAAGTCGTTATCCTAATAAAAAAGGACTTTAAAAAAAAAGTAAATTACACGAATGGTCCCTATGGTTTGGGGTAATTTGCGTGCTTATCCCTAATTTATTTTTTTAACTCGGAAGGTCCCTACTGTTTGTTTTTGTTACGTGCTTGGTTCCTACTGTTTGTTTTTGTTACGCGTTTGGTCCCTGTCTTACCTAATAAGACTATTATTTAAATAGGAAAAAACGGTGAGGTAGATAAGGTAAAGTGAGGAGTGAGGTTGGGGTGTGTTTATTTAAATAAATTAAAAAAAAATCAAGGGCAAAATAGTGTTTTTAAGTAATACAGGGACCAAGCGCGTAACAAAAACAAACAGTAAGGACCTTCCGAGTTAAAAAAATAAGTTAGGGAACAAACGCGCAAATTACCTAAACCATAGGGACCATTCGTGTAATTTACTCAAAAAAAAATTATCCCAAACACCCCCTACACCCCTACAATTGCATATGCGTATAAATAAGAGGGACCAATACTTCAACTTAAATTAGAAAAACTAGTTTCAAATCGCCAAAATACGAGGATTTGACCGGTGATTGCAGAAGGCGGGAAAGGGGATTCTGCAGCCATTGCTCTTCGAAATCTCTACCAAGTTCAAGCAAACCCTCTCTCCACCTACTCCAATCCGAGCAACCATGGAGAGAATCAACGTCGCAGTGAGAGCAAGACCTCTGTCGTCGGAAGATGCCAAGAGCAGTCCTTGGAGAATCTCCGGCAACTCGATCTTGTTCGCAAACCCTACCACCAAGTTTGAATTCGGTACGTTTTCGTTTCTAAAGCCGCACGATTTTGACTGATGAGGCGGCGTGCGTTCTTTGGCTGAGTTATTCCTCCGGTTCCTGTATCAATGTGAAGTTTAATATCATTATGATTTTCCTTCACGAAGTTTGGAATCAACTAACAATTTCAATTTAGAACTAGTCCATGTACTTCCCGAACAAGTGCGAGAATTAATTACGACTATAGATGTCAAAGTAGGGATGTAAATTATCCGAGTCTAAATCAGACGATTTGAGCTCAATTGCGTTGAACTTTGAGTACATACGAGTTGAATTCGAGTATATATAGACTTCCCATGAATATTTACAGAGCTATTCCAGTTCGAAGCTCAATGTTAAGTTTAATTTCTAACACTTTGCTTTTTTGGTGAATTACACAGACCGGATTTTTAGTGAGGACTGTAGAACTGTGGATGTTTATGAGTCAAGAACTAAAGCTATTGTTTCAGCAGCTATTGGTGGATTCAATGGTAGTCTTGTAATATCTGGTGATTTATCAATGCAACCTTTCAACTTATCTGTCTTATTACCTTCTATTTAGGCACTGTTTTTGCATATGGACAAACAAACAGTGGCAAAACACATACAATGCGTGGGTCTAGTGTTGAACCAGGAGTCATCCCTTTAGCAGTACATGATCTATTTGACAAGATACAACAGGTAGCTTTACCTCTTTGCAACTTTCTATTATCAACCATTTGAAACATAAAGGTTCCCTTTTTTCCCTCTTATTATGGAAAAGAAGTTTCAAGATCATGAAATGACATCCAAACTGATACAATGATGACTGCTTAATGTTTTTTTTGAAGGAAACGGATCGTGAGTTTCTTTTAAGGATGTCGTACATGGAGATCTACAATGAGGAAATCAATGATTTGTTGGCACCAGAACACCGAAAGCTGCAAATCCATGAAAGCATTGAGGTAAAGTTAAATGTCTTTTTTGCCCTCTTCTTGGTATATGCTTGTTTTTTCTAATTAGATTTTCATATGTAGCGTGGCATATTTGTTGCTGGCTTAAAAGAAGAAATTGTTACTAGCCCAAAACAAGTGCTTGAATTTATGGATTTTGGTGAAGGTAATTACTTTCTAGTTTCTACTCATGTATTCACATTTTATCTACTCCTACTGTTTTTATTTTTCTTTATAGTTTTAACGATCTAATTTTCTACTTGGTTATTTGTAATCATAATTTATAGCTCATCGTCATATTGGGGAGACAAATATGAATTTACACAGCAGTAGGTCTCATACCATTTTCCGCATGGTATAATATTCTCATATTCCTCTTAAACTTTTTTCTACTTAAACCTTTTCAAGTTCATTAAAAAAGGTCTCTACCTTTATAGATTATTGAGAGCAGGGATAAAGTTGAAGATGAATTTGCAGAGAGCTCATGTGATGCTGTTCGTGTATCTGTTTTGGTATTACTTTGTAACCATTTCTTTCATTTCTTTAACAGGTCTATTTTGCTTAATTTTTTTTTTATAAATTTTTATTATTTGTCATCTAAGAACTTGGTGGACCTTGCGGGTTCAGAAAGAGCTGCAAAGACTGGTGCAGAAGGTGTTCGCTTGAAAGAGGGGTCCCACATCAACAAAAGCTTGATGACACTTGGAACTGTTATTAAAAAGCTAAGTGAAGGTGCTGAGAGTCAAGGGTAGGTTCAGATGTCCCCGAGGGTAATTTAGTAATTTCTAAAACTATTCTTATAAATTGTATTTTTATTGTTTACTACAGGGGTCATGTTCCCTATCGAGACAGCAAACTCACACGTATTTTGCAGCCTGCACTTGGTGGAAATGCAAATACAGCCATCATCTGTAACATTACCTTGGCACAGGTGAACCTTATAGCTTAAATTAATACAAATAATGTTGGAAGACTACTTTTTTTTATAGTACAACTAACTAAAACTTCTAGTTATTTGAGTTTTTATGGATAAGATTATTAAAGGGTAAGAGTAAACTTACTATATGAGGTTCTGAAACTTGTTAATATTCCATTTTTTTTTATTGGTATTGTACTACTGTATTTCAAAGTGATTACTTTAAGATTCAAGATATTTCAGTGACATTTATTTTCACACTAAAGTATTCCATTAAGGTTTCTGATTGTAAGAGTGTTATTTCATGTCAAGTTAGGTGTCACAAACATTGATATCTTTATATCTTTTTCTCAAGTTTCAAATACATTTGTTTAATGGCAGATTCATGCTGATGAGACTAAAAGCAGCCTTCAGTTTGCAAGCCGAGCTTTACGTGTCACTAACTGTGTTCATGTGAATGAGGTTAGTTCTCAACACAAAATGACAAAATCTCACATTAGTATATTACTCTTTTCTTTAAGTCTCTATGCTCTTTATTTCATTCTATATTTCTTGCTATTTGGCAGATTTTGACAGATGCTGCTTTACTAAAGCGCCAAAAGAAAGAAATCGAGGAGCTTCGAGCAAAGTTACAGGTTTGCCCTTTGACATGCATGCTCATGAAAAACTGTTACTTTAGCCATTTAGTATGACACCCTCCCTTTAAAGTACTGATCACTATTCATTATTGGCATAATCTTTTTCTGTTTGTTTTTTTTTTCTGTTTTTTATACAATCTTGTAGGGTTCTCATTCAGAGCACTTGGGAGATGAGATTCTCAACTTGCGGAATACATTGTTGCAGGTGGATAGAGCTTTATCTATTAACATATACATACATAAATTCATACACATACACATACATACACATATACATATATAAGTATATAATAAATTAATAACACTGTAATGTAGAGTGAATTGGAGAGGGAGCGAATAGCTCTGGAGTTAGAAGAGGAAAAGAAAGCTCAAGCTGAAAGAGATAAGATGCTGCAAATGCAAGCAAAGAAGATCCAAAACTTGAGTTCTATGGTTATAAGTTCAAGTAGAGATGAAGTTCCTAATTATCACAAGAAGGTTTGATTTCAAAAGTTATATTTCTTTCTGTTTTAACCTTTTTGATTCTAATAACACGTTTGTTCTTCCCAAAAAGGAAAAGAGGCGTGATACTTGGTGTCCAGGGAAACTTCCAAAAAAGATGATGAATGAGGTATCTGTGTGTGTGTATATATATATATATATATATATATATATATATATATTTCTATTTCTACCAGATGTTTCCTTTAATATGCTATAAGAACATGCTTTAATTGTATGTCATATTATGCAATATTCTTCAGTTACCTTCCACTATCCCAACACAAGCTTCTGCAATGAAACCTGTTATTAGAAGTGAACGTGAAAGAGGACCACTTCTACCTTTTGAAGAACTAGTAAATGATAACACCTCAAATGCATGCAATCAGGAGAGAGATTGTAAAAGTGTGTCATTTTTTGACTTTGGTCTTCCAGATCAAAGATCACTGATGCATGTCACAAGCAGAAAAAAAGCATCTAACAGGAAAAAAAGCTTACCCATGGTTAGTTTTTATGGTGGAAGTTATTGGTATCCCACAACTTATAAGGGTTTCACAATTCTTACACAATGCAAGTTTTGCTTTCAGGAAAGCGTGGAATTAACAGAAGTGAAAGCAGAATATGAAAAGTTGTTAATGGAATTTGAAGCTGAGGTTGTTATCCTTTTTGCTTCTCTTTTTATGTATAATCTTAGTATGTTTTGTTCTCATATTGTTGCTATTTTTATGTTGAAGAGAACAACGAATGAAATACAAATAGACTACTTAACAAGAAGACTTGTGGACACTAGTCATTGTTTAGATAATGAACAGAAGATTAAATCCACATCCGATACTGATAAAAGTTCAATGGAAATGGAGGCGAATCTTGTTATCAAACAACTTCAGGAAAAGGTTTGTCTTTCACTCTTAATATGAGTTTTGATCTCAATGCTTGTGAATCACTTCTTCATTTATTAATGCAGATCTCAGTGTTGGAGATGGAGAAGGAGAAGGCTTCAAGTTTTCAGAATTTGGATTCTGTTGTAGATTTAGATACAGAAAAAGATAAGGAAGCCATTGATAAGTATGAAAAGGTTTTGACTTCATGACCTTATGATGGTTTGCTTTTTTTCTTTTTGTTATACATTTTGCTATTCTTGCTTTAATCAATTCATTTGGTATCTTGTAGCTATACAAAGAGCTTTTGGTTGCACAGGAGGAAGCCCATTTGGCTCATCAACAACTTACATCTTCAATGGTATTAGTGGAAAAAATTTGAATACTAATTTACAATAACTCTCAACATATGATACTCATGCAATGCCATGTAGGATGAAGACTCTGAAGCATTGGCAAAGTTATCAACAAACATTCAAGAAATCACATTTGAGATTCAACAGTCAAAGGCCCTTTTTGAGTCTGAACATTTGCAAAATCATAGTGCCCTATCAGACCTTATTGCTGTGAGTAATTCCAAGTTCATTATGCCTTTAAATTTATAAGCTACTATGTGATTACTTACACTTTTTGCTAACTTTTGCAGGAGGTCAGGTCTTTCTCTTCTCATGACTTTGCTCAAATAAAAAGACTACTTGCTGACTATGAAAAAGTTCATTCTTGCATGAAAGCCAAAGTAGATGAACTTGAACGTGAAAAGGTATGTTCCATTTTGCTTCCTTATTTCCTCACATTTTGTCAAAATGACAATATCAATAGTTACAATCTAAAGATAAATCAAGAACACTGAAATAGAGAAATATAGATAAAACATTAAACACTTGCAATCGAAACAAGGATTGTTTAAATGTAATTTCTTCTTTCTCTTCACGTTGTAATGCAGATTTCAGTGTTGGAGATGGAGAAGGCTTCAAGTTTGCAGGATTTGGATTCTGTTATAGAATTAGAAAAACAGAAAGATAAGTATGAAGAGGTTTGACTTCATGAGCCTATTGTCTTCTTTTCTTTATCTGGTGTAGATGGTTTACTTTTTCTTTTTTTATGTAAGTTGGTATTTTTTTCTTTTATCAGTTATATATGGAGCTCTTAGCTGCAAAGGAGGAAGCCAATTATGCTCATCAACAACTTACTTCTTTAATGGTATCTACTAAAGTGAATTTTAAAGTATTAAACTTAGCCTGATTGAAAGATTTTTTTTTTACAATTACTCTATACAAATGAGTCTCATACAATGCCATGTAGGATGAGGACTCTGAAGCATTGGCAAAGTTATCAACAAACATCCAAGAAATTACATTTGAAATTCAACATTCAAAACCTCTTGTTGAGTCTATCTCTATCTCTATCACTTCAATGATGGATGAACATTTGCAAAGTTGTAGTGCCCTATCAGACCTTATTTCTGTGAGTAATTTCAAATTTATTAATCCTTTAAAGTTATATGCTAATACATTGATGTGTTATATAGTTTTGCTTTACATTTTCAGGATATTGGATCTTTCTCTTCCCATGACATTACTCAAATAAAAAGACTACTTGGTGACTATGAAAAACTTCATTCTTGCATGAAACTGAAAATAGATGAACTTGAGCATGAAAAGGTATGTTCCATTTTGCTTCCATATCAACACCAATCTAAAGATAAATCAACAACACTGAAATCCTTTTTGAATCTCTAAAAATACTCACTAATTTTTCTTCACATTGTAATGCAGATGGAAAATTTGGATTCAGATAAGTATGCCAGCAATAAGCATGAAGAGGTTTTGTTTTTCTTTCTTTTATATAGTGAAGATGTGTTTTTTATATGTTGCTATTCTTGCTTTCATCATATAATTCGGTTTCTTGTAGCTATACATGGAGCTCTTGGCTTCACAGGAGGACACAAATTTGGCTCATCAACAACTTACTTTATCAATGGTATTCACTACAACACTTAATGCATGCATATTGCATCCTCCTATTTTCATAAATAATTCTTACTTGAGAATGAATATTAGTTTCATAATTACTCTTAACACACAATGCCATGTAGGATGAGGACTCTGAAGCATTGACAAAGCTATCAGCAAACATTGAAGAAATTACATTTGACATTCAACAGTCAAAAACCCTTGTTGACTCCATCACTTCAATGATGGATGAACATTTACAAAGTTGTAACACCCTTATTGATGTGAGTAATTTCAACTTCATTATACCTATACATTTAATATTTATACACTACTAAGACTCTAAGAGGTTTTACAATTTTGCGAACTTTTGCAGGATGTCAGATCTTTCTCTTCCCATGACTTTACTCAAATGAAAACACTACTTTGTGACTATGAAAAACTTCATTCTTGCATGAAAGCCAAAGTAGAAGAACTTGAACATGAAAAGGTATATTCCATATCCAATTTTCTTTTATAATCATCTTCAATTCCTAACAATTCTGACATTCCTCATTTGCAGCTTCTTATGTGCAATCAATCTGAGGATCTTCAAAAAAGGCTAGAAGAAGCTTGTTTAAGTGGTGAAAATTCATCACGGGCTTTAACAGTATGTCATTGATTTCTCATTTTTAATAAAACTTCATGTTCTCCCTTCCACTGAACTGACAAGTTTATTTATTTATGTTTTTCAGGAGCTTTCTGAACGATATGAAACAGAAACAAACGAATTAATTACTGAAATCAGAACACTAGAAAATGAGATAGGACATTTATCAACTTCTGTTTTGGCTAAAGAGAAGGAAAGCATGAGAAAAGACCTTGAGAAAACAAAAGTAAAACTGAAAGAAACAGAGTCAAAGCTAAGAAATACCATTCAAGAAAAAACAAAGTTAGAGGTAAGAAGTTAGTAACTTATTTCTCCATCTTTAATGTGGTAAACACTAAACAAGTATTAATCCAACAGTTTGTCTAATTTACCATTTTACCCTCCATTTGTAGGGTGAAAAAAGCATCTGCAGAGAGAGAAATAAAACGTTTGCATAGTCAGAAAATGATTCTTGAACGTGATATGAACAAACGTGAGTCAAGGCGTGATTCAGTTCTTGATAGAAGCTCAAATATTTTTGAACCAAGAAAAGGGAAAGGACATGTTAATAATGTTGATCAGGTGATAAAAATTTGTTTTCAATAAGATTAAACTTAAAAGGAAAATTGCTCATAAAATTGTTTATTTTTTTCAGGAAGAGTATAGAAAACTAGAAGTGCTTGCATTTGATATGGAGAGAACTATTGTTTCTCTAGAAGAACAATTAGCAACTGCTAATGATGAAAATCAACAAGCAGTGTTGAGATCTGAAAGTTTAGTACAAGAAGTTGAAGAATTATCTGATAAATTAGAGTATTCAAACTCAGAACTGGAAAGATTTGAAGAAATGATTTCAAGTCTTGTGAGTTGTTCTTGATTTCTAAATTAGTGTTTGGTATGATTGAATCAAGGAAGGAATGGAATCATTCATTCCCATCCATTTTTTTTAATTCTCATGTTGATTTTTTATTATTATTATTGTTTCAGAGGGCAAACTTGGAAGAAGCAGCAATTAAAAATCAGAATGCAGATAGCTCTATTAGTAGGTTGATGGAGGAAAAGGAAGAAATGGCTATGGTAATTAATTTAATAAATGCATTTATTTTATTTTTAATCAACTTTATAACATTTTATAACATGCAGCAACTTACTGATGCTCTTCTGGCAATTGAGGAGGAAAGGGCAATATGGTCCACCACACAAAAAGCTTCAATTGAAGCCATTGAAAGCAAATCAAAGTCATACAATGCTGAGATTGCTTTGTTAACAGATAAAATGTCAGAGGTAATATTCAAAACAATTTATCAAAATCAAAACAATTTATCAAAATCAATATATATATATATATATATATATATATATATATATATATATATATATATATAGTGAGATTTAATAATTTATAATGTTTATTGCTTTAAGGTGAGGAATGAACTGGAGGCTTGCAGAGAAACATACAATATCATCAATGAAAAACTGTCTGTTGCAGAAGAAAAAGTGGAATTGGAGAAATCATGCAGGTTTGCCCCTATATCCTTTAGGGTTCTTTAGGTTTAGGGACAAGGGCATTTTCGTCTTTTGACATGATTAAGTTCCTGATACAGTATGGAGAAATCACTTGAAGTTGACCGACTGAAGAATGATCTTATACTGCTTGATGACCAGAAGAAAACATCAGAAGATGTAAGTTTTTATACTTTTTTTTTTTTTTTTTTTCTAATTACGATATATAACCTTGTAAGGGTATTTTTTGTAAGTTCATAAAACTGAAAAAAAAAAAGATTTAGAAACTGAAAAGAAAACCAAGGATCAAATTTTTATTGGAAAAACGACAAAAATTTCAGATGGTCAAATAATCAACAGTTCTGTGTATCTACAGAAGTGACTGAATCATACCTTGTAAGGGTATTTTTGTAAATTTATAAATTTGAAAAAGAAAAAAGATTTAAAAACTAAAAAGAAAACCAAGGGTCAAAACTTTTATCAGCAAAATGAGAAAAATTCAAATGGTCAAATAGTCAACAATTTCTGTGTATCTCCAGAAGTTACTGAATCAAATTGTTGAGATCACAAAAGAAAGAAAAGAGTTAGTGGCTCAGATTGAAGAACAACAACTGCTCATGGAAAAATGTAATGACAAGGTAAAAAGTTAAAAACCAAATTTGATTGCTATTTTTGGATTTTTCATTTTACTTAATTTTTTTTCTTTATATTTTTTTACCAGCTTTTGAATGCGAAAGCTAAAGTTGAAGAGTTGACAATGAAGCTATCCACCTTAGAAGCCAAAACACACTGTGTAAGTTCTTTTTCTCTTGAGAAATGTTTTTTTGACTTTTTAGTAAGATGTTGACTTTGACTTTGACTTTAACAGGGTGATATAGACAAGGCGAAATTGAGAATGAGGTTAAATGGAGCACAAACAAGGTTGGATGGAATGAGGGTGAGGTGTAAAGAAGAAATGGAGGAGAAAGAGTTTATGAATAAAAAGTTTGAAGAGGCTACAAATAAGTTAAAGGAACAGTTGGTATGTTGTAGAACTGAAAACATGAACCTTAAAAAGCACCTTCTTCTCAAAGAGTAATCATCAATACAATATTATTTATATTTTTTTTTTTGTAAATGAAATCAAAAACCACACGTTTGGTATATCATTATTGTGTTTGCTTAATCATCTCCTAGATGGTTACAGGTAGAACTTTAGAAGAAGGGTAATAAAGTCTTTTTCTGTTTTATAATGCAAATAGTTCTACTTTGGTTATGGATGCTATTTGTGAAAGGACTTGAAATGTGATGGAGAAAATGGAAACATTTATAATTTTATATCACCTATTATCTATTTTTCATATATCATGTAGAGTGGAGTTGAGACGAAAAATGTAATTTACAATTTGTAAATATAAAATCTATAATCAGAACTATTTGATGTCTACTATAATATTAAAATTACAACTAGCATTTACATAAACATAAACATAAAAAGTTAATATGAAAAATTCACTTCATATGTGTAAGTAAATTGCACCAGGTTTTTGTAGACATAGCTTTGAGTTTGGGTGAATAATTAACTTAATATTATATTTAATCAAGATCAACGTGTTGTACCATAAATCTATATTTGTGAATATTATGAGGTGATTTTGGTGAACTATTTTCCACAATCAATAGTGTCAATATATATATATATATATATATATATATATATATATATATATATATACTAGTAGTGTACCCGCGCGATGCGGCGACGACGATTTGTTTCATTCGGACAATTAGTTTTCGGCCGGAAATTAGTTTCCTTTCAACGGGCGTTTTATTTGGGTTAAAATAACAGTGCGTTGCAATTTTATTATAGAAATATACAAGTTTTAGTTAAAAACAAAAACATATTGTTGTTTTGAAAACCAAACTATGTAAACACATGACGATGTGATCTTAGCATATGTAGCATTTTATATTTAAATTTTGATCAAAATCAGATTTTAATTTTATGGTTGTTTTTAGTAATCGAAAATGAATTCTATTTGTTATTTTATCTTTTATCAGTTTATTATCGTTTTATTTTTATTTTCAGAACAGTTGAAAATGGATATTATTATTATTAATCATTTTATCTATCTATCAACAAAATGTTGGTTTAATTTGTTTAAAATAGACCAACATAAAAATTATGATATTTTTGGATATTTTGTTAATTTAATTATTTTATTGATTACATAATCCAATTATTTTAGTTATCTATTCCTAAGTAATTTTTATTTTAAATAAATCGTTTCTATGGTAATTCGTATGATTAAATTAAAAAATATTAATGTGGAATTGCATTCTTTGCTAAGAATATTTAAGGGAAGGCAAATACTTAATTGCGGTAATTGGTTATACTTGTTGCTAAGCGAGTGCAATATTGGATATCTAAAGTTTCTGATACTTATTCAAATATTAACTTCGGATATCCGAAAATTTAAACATTTCAAAATAAATCAACTAAAAAAGTTTATATATTTCACTCATTAGCCAAAAAATGTTACCCATTGAAAAATGTTGTGTCCATGTATATATCCACCGTCCAAATTATGGGTTGAAAATTTTTCAAAACTCTTTTTTCAAATGAATTCATACACCGCCACCATGTACACTAATTCATGTGTCCCTAAAATAAGAAAAGCAATGAATCAATTATGAAAACCATGTTTAGCTCACTACACTTTTTTTGAACACTTGAATCTTAGTCCTGAGAAAACAAAATAATATATATGGAAACAATCAAACATGGGAATAAAATACACGAACTAATAAACTCAGACAAAGTCCATTGCTATTTCGTTGAGGCTTTACAAAGTTCATTCCTTTTTCTATTTATTCCTAAGTTTTCTTACCAGACTCAAGCTCGTAGTGATGTTTTTAATGTTGGTGTCGGCTCCTTGAATTAAGTTGAGAAGTTGTCATGTTAAATACATTATCTATAAATTATAAAGAATATACCATGCCACCCCCGTCATATTATTTTTACTAAAAAAAATTACAATGCATAAACTTTTAATGACGTTTTATGCATTTTCCAAAGGTATTTTAATTTTAAAGGAGAAGTATATATTTGTAATAAACAAATAATCGGTTCTAGCCAATGACCAAATTTAACTTGATCAAATAAATTATTTTGTACTTTACACACATCTTCTTGATATTTAGATATCCAGATTCAAATTAAGGCATCAAATGGTTAGTAAAGTGGCAACACATCTTTGTCAAATGGGTTAAAGAGTAAACCCAATATTTAAGTTCTTTCAAAACATGTTGTAAAAAAGAGTAATACTAACGTTTCTTTATTTGATTTTTTGACAGCTCATTCGATGATTGCATACATGCCAGTAATTTAGTTGACAAAATAGAATATTTTTGCCTTCAACCATTCATATTCTTAATAATGTCAGGAAATGACAAACATGGAGCAGTGCATGTATCATACAAATGGGAGGAGTGCAGGCAGTGTTGTAGGAAAGATGTGCAAGTTTCCTCATAAAAACTTCGAGCTTCAAAAAAACTGATACATCAAAAACGCTACTTCTTATATATCTAGTTTGAGATAGAAATTTTAACCAGAGGTGATCCTAAATTCAAAAATGTTGTCTTTGATAAGGATGATCCATTGGAGTGATATTATAAGTACCTTTATAACCAGACCCATCCATTCCAACATTGATGAATGAATATATACAAGATTGGGGTGGGTTCTTTTTTTATATATAGAATTTATCAAAATTACTAATAAACAAGAAATTATAATGACACTCACCATTATGAACCTCTTTTATTTTAAAGCTATAACATCTTTTTATGGATAATATATTTTAAGCTTTTCGTTTTTTGGAATTTTCAAAAGTATGCTAAAATGTGGTAATTATGAAGTGATTCTTAACCTTCCGCTGTTAAATATCATTTGTATGTCCTTATTGATGTTAACTTGTTAAGGGTTGTTAATCACAACTTGTTAAAAATGAATATAGAAGCCTTAATCTTGAACTCAACATATTTAAAACTAAACAACCATGCTTCATCAGCCATTCAATTGTGGCTTCATTTCGCTCGGATCTTACCGCCATTTTCCCTTATCGTCGTCCCAATAGTTAACAAAATTGCAACCAACAAAAAATGAAGAACAAACCAACCTCTGGCCAAATGTGCCTCCCTTGGAACTGAAAATGGGAATACGCAACTGGAAAAAGAAAATATTGCACCAAAAAACTCAGAAACTTTTTATGTTTATAAATCCAGTTGGATACAGAAATCAAACAACATATACAATAACTTAACAAATAATTAGACCCAAATAGATACCCAAATCAAACAAACAAATGTCACAAACACACCCTGACACCCATATAAAAAAAAGAGTTCATTCTTTTGATTATCTTGTTACAAATGGGTTTCAAACATAAAATATCTTATACAGAAGCATAGCTTTAACTGAAATCACGAGGCCGATCTCCTTCAACCATTCTTTTAAACATGCCATGCAAAAAAGAAAAAGATGAAGAACAGGCATCAAAAGGTTTAGATCTGACAATCGAAAATCGAAATGAACTTTTTAGTCTACGAATAAAATGAAGATTTTATCTGGAAAATGGAAGTCTAACCATCTTCATCAAATAAGCATTAACGAAATGGGGGATATCCCAGATCTGTTCGCTTCAAATTTGCTTATGTTCTGAATGTACGACAGTCGGGAGTTTTAGGGGGTGTTTGGCTTAGCTTTTCACAGCCAAAAGTCCTTTTTGGAAAAGAAAAAAAAGCAAAAGATGTTTGGCAAAACTAATTTTAAAAGCTACTTTTGGAGTTTTGATATAAGGAAAATGAACTTTTTGGAAAAGTCAGGAAAACCTGACTTTTTGTAACTTTTCCAAAAAGGACTTTTGAGCTGTGAATAGCTAAGCCAAACACCCCTTAGAGGTTGATGGTGCTGACAAAGGCAGATGTATGGTGGCTTGGGGTGAAACCAACGACTTGGCGATGATGGGAGGTCTGACGATAGATTGTGTCATAAATGGTTATGGCTGGTAGAGGAGGCTGCTTGCTGTGGTTGAAGTTAGGGTTTTCTAGATAATGTAATATTTCGAAAGGGAAGGATTTCAATTACACCGTTGGTGGACAATATATAGATAAAGATGCATAGGAGTTTTTGTTTAGGTGTGCTTGTTTGTGCTTAAAAAGTAGTACTTTTGTCTTTAAGTATGATATTTGTTTCTAATTGGTTTAAATGTATTCACATGGATCACTACTAAACAAATATGCACCATCCAAATTAGATCCAATGGTTATAATTTTATCTCCTTGTTTTTAAGACTTTGTTTTAAAATTGATGGACCCCATTATTATTTATGCATTATAAAGTAGTAAGATAATATATATATATATATATATATATATATATATATATATATATATATATATATATATAAATGAGAACCAAATGATGATCGTTAGATCAAAATAAACGATGGTTAGGATGCTTTGTGACATATTTGTAAATACATAGGAAAGAAAAGGCAAGGGGGCATGTTTTCTGAAAAAGCATCGGTCATTTTAGGAATGGAAAAATATTCATACCCACTAATCGGATTGAATCACGTTAGCCACTGCCCTATCTCTCTCGCTCTCTTCATCCCGCATCCCTTTGATCTTCATTCCACCTCCTGCAATTCACACTTCAGCTTGTCGATGGTGAATCGAAGAAACAATTGCTTTCGATTTCTAATTTTTTTGATTCAATTGTGTTGCCGATTTGCCGATCATAATGTAATCGGAGATGAAGAAAAAGAAACTCGAATGTAATCGCCACCCTTTTAACTTCTAGAGAGAGAAAAAATCAACCACAGAGATGGCTTCTTCTTTCTTACTCACGGTGGTGGTTGTGCTCATGGTGATGTCTGTATCCGTGTCGACGGCACAGGCGCAGCCCAGACGTGTGTGTCGAAGCTAATCCCGTGCGCTCAGTACCTCAACGCCACCACAAAGCCGCCCAACTCCTGTTGCGATCCGATCAAGGAGGCGGTGGCCACCGATCTACAATGTATGTGTAACCTCTATGAGAATCCTGCCTTCTTGTCTGGTCTTGGAATCAATGTTGCTCAGGCACTTCGTCTTCCTCAATTGTGTGGAATCTCCTATGACACTACCACCTGTAACAACACTACTGGTTAGCAATCGTTTTCCTTAAAATCACTTTTCGCTTTAGCTTTTTAGATGTCACGATACCTAATCAGTATTCAGTACGATGTTTTTTGATCCACCTTAACAACTCGTCACTGTTACTGCATTCTTTCAAAGCTTCCATTTTTTGATCTTCATTTTGGCGTGTTGAATAGGTTTCTCATATTATATAAACCGATAAAAAACATCTTTCCATTTATTTTTTGATCTTCATTTTGGCCATTGATATCACATTCTATGTGTTTTTTAGCATTTCCACTGAAGAAAGGTTGGAGCGATTGAGAGAAAGTATTAGTGGCTTAGATCTTGAATCTTATGATGTGTATGAGCATGACAATAAAGTATGCTTAGAAGAAGAAGAAGGCAAAGCAGGTGGTGTTTTCAGTTGAACATGGAGATAAGTTATTGCTGAATGGAAACAGAGAGACTCTACATGATTCTATCACTGAAACACTAGTTACAGATGATGATAAGGCTGTAGCTGTTTCTGAAGTTTGTGATGCTTCTGTTTATGATATAGTTAACAATGATCAGCCATCTCAAAGGCAGATACCAAATGCAATTTTGCCTCTTCTACGTTATCAACAATATGATAGCTCAGAATCTTCCTTGAGGTATTTTATAAATTGTTGATATTTAGAATACAAGAAATATTGTTGTAATGCATTAAACTTAATGCAGTTTACAAGGCTCACCTAGTGAAGATAGAAACTTCAGGAGTGAGCTTGATTCAGCAGAAATGGAGGAAACATCTTTCTCTAGCCAAGAAGATAGTGAACATGATGAGATTCTTGATTGGGCCAAGGTATTTTCTTCTATTCATCTTCTTCTTTGACTTTCCTGTTGACCTCTTCTTGTTAAAGATTCTCTTTTCTATGTGTTACATTTTGAGGATCAAGGGTTGGCCCTGAGGATCAACACATGGAGTCATCATATCAGGACGTTTATACATGTTGGAAAGCAATAGGTAGGGTTGATGTTGGGTTTAGTGTGGAGACTTGAGCATTGATCCCCATGGCGACAAGATCTGGAAGTTTAAGGAATTTGAGTTATAAGAAACAATAATTTTAATTGTTTCTTATATTTCGGTACTCTGGACACCATCAAATCCATTCGAGTTATTGTGTGTGTTTATCTCTCTTTATATTTATTTTTTTTCTCATGTACTTTGTGTCTATCTCTCTTTATATATATATATATATATATATATATATATATATATATATATCATTTCTCTTATTGTGTGTGTTTAACTGTGTGTGTGTTTCTTGATCCTAAGTTACGTATTTAATTGTGTATGAGAGTCTGTTACCAAATCGGTCCTACAAAAGATGAAATCACTTCCTCAGCATCTGCAGGATCCTTCCTAAATGCAGGCCTTACACAATATGTTGAAGGCGCGATTACTTCAAACAAAATCCTCCCCTCTAAAATGTTGATTTTTTTTTTGTTAAAAAAATAGAGTTTTTTATTTATTTATTTATTTTTTATTTTTTAAATATTTTAGTTATTTTTTATAAATTTACTATTTTTTTAAAATTCATATTTTACACAAAAATGCAGTTTTTTAAAAAAATTTGCAGTTTTTTTTTAAAAAATTGCAGTTTTTCTTTAAAAAGTTGCACTTTTTTTCTAAAAAATTGCATGATTTTAGAAAAAAATGCAGTTTTTTTGAAAAAATTATTAAGTTTTTTTTTTAAAAAATTGCAGTTTTTTTAAAAAAAAATTTCAAATTTTTAAAAATTTATGCTTTCCAAAAAAGTTAAGAAATCTGCAATTTAAAAAAAAAGAAAAACAAAAATTTTTTTTTTTTTTATAAAAAAAATCCGAAAATTTGTTTTATAATGTTAATTTGAGAGCTTTTTATTAATATTTCCAATAATACAAAAGATTAAATTGGATTGGTATGATGACGATCATGCCCTTAATGAATTAGTTTTGATTGAACGCTCCACTTTTAGTTCTTGGGTTCTCGGGAAACTATGAGTTCTCAACCGATTTCACCCCTATATATATATATATATATATATATATATATATATATATATATATATATATATATATATCGAGTGTTTTTTGATGAACGAAAGCCTTAAAACCCCAAACCTTGATTCATTCAAGAGAGGGATGAGTCCCTTTCATAATTTTAAGTGGTGTATGTTCAACCTTCTTAGTTGGTATAAGGTGAAGAATGTAAGCGGCCATTTCTAAAGCATAACCCCAGAAACTAATTAGAAGTATAACACGAGTTATCATAGAACGAACCAAGTCTAACAAGGTTCTATTTCTTCTCTCAGACACACCATTGTGTTGTGGTGTTCTTGGTGGAGCTAGTAGTAAGACTATCTCACAACATCTAAGATGATCGTAGAATTCGTCACTAAGATACTCTCCGACCCTGTCAGAAGGAAGTATCATGATTTTTTGCCCAGTTGGTTCTCTACTTCCCTATGGAACTTCTTGAATACTTCAAATGTCTCGGACTTATGTTTAATCAGATAAACTTACCCATATATACTGAAATCATCCCTATATATCACAAAGTATCTTTCACCATGTCTAGTCATATGTATGAACGAACCACATACATCCGAGTGAATGATGTCCAACATATCCATCCCTCTCTCACAGTTACCTGTGAAAGGAGATTTTGTCATTTTCCGAAGTAAGCAAGATTCACAATCTCCATTGAACACAAGGTTAAATGGTTCCAAGATTCCATCTGATTGGAGCTTGGCGAATCTCATTTTATTTATATGTCCAAGACGACAATGCCATAAACATAATTTATCTAAAGTAGATGAACTAACGTTTAAGATAAGATATGTGAAGATAAAAACATAAATTTTTAAACAAAGTCGTATTATAGGTGAAGACACTCCTTTTCAAGGGGTTTGATCAATCTTCTTTATACCATCTTTTTCTTTTCACCCCTTTTGACTACTACTTTTAATATTCCAAATATGTATATGGTGTATTGATCTCCATGTTAAAATTTCAAACTTGATCTTAGAAATCATTTGGATTTTATTTATTTTTCAACCACCAGGTGATGACATTGAGTTCAATCTAAATAAACATTATTATGCTTTCTTTTTCCCAAATTTGCTGGATAAAGACCTTTTTTATTGATGATGTTGACTATGTTTTACTGTTTCATCAACTCAAACTGCGTTAAAGCTTTGAACGACCCCTTGAGCTTTTGGTACTTTATCTGGTTAGAGTTTTTGAGTATTGGTGCAACTGGATTTCTTTCTTAAACATGGGTGTTGCAACTGCTTTGATTCTTAATGGGATATATGATGAGATAAGAGCCTAGTCAAAGACCAAATCGGGACAGTGGAAGCAACATATTTTCTGAACTATAGACTCGTAAATAGCAGATCTAACTCAAAGAATCTATGAAACTTAAAGGACACAATAGAACGAATCATACCTTCGTGTTTTTCTTGGACTTCTTTGGTCTAGCCAGCTGATCGAACTTGAGAACCCAACGTACAGTTCCTTTCTTGTGATCGCACCCAAGACACAAACTCCAACAGATATGAAAGCTAACCAACAACTACTAGACTCGATTAACGAATCAGTGAGGGACCACGACATTGCAAATGATCAACTAGGGAGTGGCTACGAGCTCCGACTGTTCTAGGGTTTTTCCTTAAGGTTCCGAACTTTGGAGGCAGAAGGATATTTTTTCATGCATCCTAAATCGGGTTTTGACCCCTCTATATATAAGGACGTGCTTGGAAACCCTAAAGATAATTGCCAAATATATTTGTAATTATCTAGGTTTTTGGTAATTATCCAAGAATTAAAACATTCTAGAATATTCCAAATTCCATTCGTTTGTCTAATTATTTAATAAAAATATTAATTACTTAACAAAACAATTCCCTAAAATGAATATCTTTTCAGTTCTGCTTTATTTTGCTCTTGAGTGTAACCCAAAAGGACACTGCTATTTATAGTAATATTACCGATTTGTTATGGCTATGAACACTAATCTCTATCAGCTCCTACTTGCACTTAGGCATCAAAGATTGACCGATCCAATACTTAATATGAACAACAGTAAGTGGCAGTCCAATGCAACTACTATACTTATTGCAACATTACTATAAACAATCCCAAGACTAGCGACTTCAAATTCCTTTGATCTTCATGATATCTTATTATAAACTTGAGACATGGATCGATGGTCAATCTCATGGTTCAAGATTATGTTTCTCGATACCGACTTGTGGTGACTTTTCAGACTGACTATCGAATTCAATCAACTTTGTCTCAGCTCGGCCAAGCATTTATTGCCAACACCAAATCAACAAGTGCCCCAGAGATATCTACTTCTCCATTTCTGACAGAAGGATCAAATAAACTTTGGCTACATATGTCAGTACTATTCCTCATGCAATATCTAGTAAAGCCCTGTATAACTGCCAGTTAGAGACAACGTTGGGGAAAAGCCAAGATATAACAGATTGTAGGACAAAATATCATGAATCTACATTTGAAAAATAAGAAATATTGTCGTCTTAATTTACTCATGAAATGATCCATGAAGTAATATTTAATCGTGGTTACTCAAATACTTAAAATCTCCATTTTCAGGTACTTCACATATCTTTGCTATGTTCATCTTAATGAACAATCTACCAAAACTCCATCATAATCTTAACTCACTACTATCTTCCAAGAGTAGGACCAATTTTGGAAGTTTAAATAAAAGAATATTTTGGAAGTGGTTCTAACCATGCAAAAGAAGGAACACATATAATATCAAGGTTCTAAAAAGCTCGCCATGGCTCCAAGGCTTGTACTTGCCACCAAGCTTTAACAAAATGTCGCCTTAAGTCATATATGTATATAAAAATGAATAATAGTAGAAAAAATATATAGAATTATGAATTATATACAAAATTTCCGCCTTAATTCACGCCTTACAAACGATGTGGTTCGCCATGACTCGTAAAAGCTTGAGCCTTGACATTGCCGCCAAGTCCACACTTAACATTATTTAGAACCTTGGATAATATTAATGATCAAAAATAGCAACTTGTTATTACTAATCACCAAATCAAAAGATAATCTGAACATGTTCCATAGAATCAAACTGCAAATCGTGTAATTAAATCAATTCACTAGCAAATCTAATGCCAATAGATCTAGTATGAGCATCATGCTTGATTTGTGACAATGGTTTGGTGTGCGGGTCAACAAGTTTTCATCCTCTTGAGTAATGTGGAATCCATAAAACTCTGGTGGACGAAGTTCTCTATCAGATCTACGTAGTGGAGGTGGAGGTGTAGATATATTAGATTACTCAACATGTTCTTTAATCCCTTGTTGAGGTCCACTGTCAACTTTAGGTTCTTTATTGGTTGATTCTTGAATCTCATCAAGATCAATCGGGCTCCCACTGGTTTCGTGCGATATCGACTCCCTTTCACGGAAGACTGCCCTATGAGCAAAAAGATCTTATTCTCAGTAGACTTGTAGAACAAGTATCCAAAGGAAATCTTTAGGATAACCAATGAAGTGACACTTTTCGGATATGGGTTCAAGTTTTTTGAGTGCTTCTTGATGAAAGAAAGCCTCACAACCCCAAACCTTGATTCAATCAAGAGAGGGATGAGTCCCTTTCATAATTTCAAATGGTGTCGGTTTAACCTTTTTAGTTGGTACCCGGTTAAGAATGTAAGCGACAATTTCTAGAGCATAACCCCAAAAACTAATTAGAAGTATAACAGGAGTCATCATAGAGCGAACCAAGTCTATTAAGGTTCTATTTCTTCTCCCAGACACACCATTGTGTTGTGGTGTTCTTGTGGGCTAGTAGTAATATTATCCCACAACTTCTAAGATGATCTTAGAACTCATCACTAAGATACTCTCCGATCCTGTCAGAATGAAGTATCTTAATTTTCTTGCGCAATTGGTTCTCTACTTCCCTATGGAACTTCTTGAATA